TAATAAAACTAAAATTCATATTTCATAATATATATTCTTTGCATTACTTTACATCATTCCCAATAATTGAAATTATTTGCAAACGATTAACTCTTTTCTCCATCAATTCAGTATAACCACACATGCTTGTACCATTTTCTCTCTTCTCTTTTCGCTTTTATCTTCTGTAAAATATAATAGTCTTTGCTGTTGCATACTTTATACCCACAATTCTGGCAGCCTATATCTCATTCATTCTATATTTAATACTTCTTTTATTTTCTTTCCTTCTATCTCAATTATTTAACAAAGCTATTATTTTTTAGACTACGACACTTTCATATACTTTTTATTTTATTTCTTTATTTCATCTACTCCATCTATTACTATCTTCTATTCACCTTCACTACCTCTCACTATACTTTTAACTTATAAGCTTTCTGAATTATAATCTTCATTAGGAACAAACATCTTTTGAGATTATCTTATAATTAAATTATTGATCATCCATTCAATTTGTTAATCCTATTTAAATTTACTATTCAATTTAAAACATTTTTTTATTATGTTTATTCAAGTTTTAATAAACCCGACCTATATAAAGTAACTCTTAACTAATTTTCTATTTTATCAAAAACTTACTTTTATTTTCTTGTCTGAATTTTAAAACATAAATAAATGGATTCATTTTTACATTTAAACTGAACTTTTCTTTAAGTTTTTTAAAACAAATCATTCATCCACCAAAATACATTTCTAAACTCCTCATCAAATATTAAACTTATTAAATTCACATTTTCTAAAAGAGTTAAAATTTACATTTTAATAGAACAATGACTCAATCTTTACAAGTTTTAAAATCTTTATTAACTTTGTTTTATTACATTTTAGAAAGAATAAGCTTCATATTGAACAGAAAAAAAAAGACTTATACATATGTAATTATTTATAAAGTTCTACTTTCAAAAATTACATCATTTAATAATAATATAAATTAGGAATGAGAATTTTTCGTCAAGCTTTTGAATAATTAGGAGGTAGTAGAACACGAACCAAATCTGATTCTCGTTAATAAGAAGACATGTGTATAGTCCCACCTGAAGAATATTTCAAATAAGATCGTCCACAACCACTCACAAGACAATTTTTTACAATGTTATCTACTCTAGAATAAAAGATTAATAAAGAATGCACTGTGGAACGTGTTAATCAAGTAGTGCAAATGTATTAGCAATGCATAGAGTTTTATGACAGTCGTAAAGATGACATCAAGTACTACTTTGTTGATAAAATATAAAATGCACTATATGAAATGCAATAAATTAGCTGTCTCAAAACTAGACTTGTTACTGAAGTACAATCACCTGTTAACTAAAAAATTAATAACTTATCACCTATTCCAATTGAAGAAGATGAACACTATATTCGAAATAAAAAGAAAGAGAAATCTATTAAGCTTGCAATTTAAGAATAAGTGATTTAAGTTGTAAAATAATAACCAGAATAAGTCCAAGGTATGGTAAATGAGTATCATGAGAAGTTAGATCAGTAAATATTTTAATTAATTTTAGACATACATCTATGATAAAAAAGAGTGTTAATTAATAAGAACATTAATTTAATGAACGTTTGCGAAAGAGAAGTATAAATAAAAAATCTCTTTCTCGGTGCAATTCAAGTGGAATATTGGAGTAAAATTAATGACTTTCTGTTTATATATATATGTTTAACAATTATCAGGAGATAAGTTTTAACTTATTTTTATTGTTTTTTATTTTCTTTATATATTATATAATTAATTTTATATTAAATTAAAAAAATACTGAAACACATTTAAAATATAAAGAACTCTATCTAAGTTTCTCAATTAAGAAGTTAATAAAGCTTTCACACATAATCAAAAATAGAACAATTTATAATAAATTTAGATTTTTTTAATAAAAGCTATAATGCATTATATGTTTATAATGTAATCATTACAATTTTTTTACTTAATTATGTAATAATGGGAATTTGTATTTATAAATAACCATATCAGAGTATTCTATAAACTATTATTTAATGTATAATTTATATTTTAAAGAAATAATATATTTATTTATATTAAATAAACATCTTTCTTTAAATGGATGCAAATAAGATAGATTAAATATTGTAAACATTCTACAATAGTCAGCAATAATTAAATATGGAAGAATTATATAATCTGCTAATTTCAAAAAATTAAGTCGATTTATAACAAAATACACAAAAAATCCATTCTGTATGTGGAAAACATATTTTGAAAGACAACTTAAGTTTTCAATGTTTTAGTTGTTCTCAAGACTTTAATCATATGATTTGTATGAAATGCTTTGATATTAAAAAACACTAAAGTATCATTTTTTTTAAATTTTAGATCACAAATTTTTGCTACAAGGTAGCTAGGGAAGTTGTGATTGCGGGGATGTAAATATAGTTGAATTAGGAATTTGTGATCATCATTAGGGATATGCTAAAATAAATAAAGAAGAAATTCTTTAATTAATATCTGATGAAATTAAAGTGAATACTAAAATTTTAATCAATTTTCTTAATGATAAATTGAATAAATTTTATTAAGAACTAAAACCAAAAAGCATGGGAATAATTCCAATGTTTATAAAAATATATCATTTAGCAGTTAAATTTAAATTATAATAGATATTAGATACTCTTAATCTTTAACAATATTACGAAATATTTTGTAAAGCAATTTATTATCACAATTTATTGATTCAATTTATATCTTGGTTTATTTAAGTTGATTATCACAATATCTTTTTAATTACTTATATATTATAATAATTAGATGAAGAATCCAATTAAATGATTTTACAAGATATTTTTAGAAGATAAATCATTTTTGAACAATTTGGACCCTATCAAGGGGAAGAAATATAATAAATCTTTTATCTTTTTCATGCTGACAATGAGTTTAAAAATCTAACACATAGTGTTTTCTTGAATAATTTTAATAACTTCCTACAATTTTATGAGGTAAATAATGAAGAGTTTAATACCTTATAAGAAATATACTTCGATTTAGAAGAGGGCGTTGATCTAAAAGCTAAGGAAGTGAAAATTTCAGAATAATTAAAATAAATGCAAATCGACAGGACTGTTAATAAGATTAACTCTATTTATATATTCTTTACAACTTTTAAAAATTAACATACATAATTTTGTAGCCCAAAAATGATGGAAAAATTTTTTTTACCTGAAAATTGTGCAAATTTTTTATAAGATTTAGTTGAATGTCAAAATAAATATTATTAGAATTTTATTTTTTTTCAAGATTATTCCGTAATACATTTAAATTTGTTAAGCTTAAGACAAAATTATGGTTGGTTTAAAAATACCCTCTACAATTCTTTATAATAAATATTAGATAATAAATTTGAATAATTTTTAAATAATATTTTAACTTAAGAGGAGTGTGAGGTTTTTTTGAAAAAACATTTCTTTTTAAATGAACTAATTTATTCTTTTGGTAATGTCAAAGATTATTAAGCTAATTTCACAATCAATAAGTTAAATGCTGAATAAAATGATTATCTTAGTGTTAATCTTATATTCAGATATGAATCATATCAAATTTTTATTTTTAGTACTATTTTAAAAGGATTAAGAAGCCTAATTTCTTAAGTTGAGGGAAAAAGAAATATTACAAAAATAATATTATTTTAATGTTATCAAATTTTAAGAAAAAATAATTTACATAAGTAAAACTTTTAGTAAATTGATGATTTTTTATCGTAATACTTTAACAAAGAGAATGATTCGGTAAATTAAATAAATGAAGGATATAATTTATTAAGTCTAAAACTATTAAAAAGACCAATTATTATTAACTTAATTTTTATAGTATTATTAGTTCTTGATTACTTTGAAGGCTAATTTATAAATAATGAATAGTTTCTATAATATTTAATGCAAATCATTGAAGTAAACAGCTTGAAAGATTTAAGGTAATTGTTTGACTATATATTAATTGATTGTCTTTAGAATTGGGTGTCTTTTAATTTTGATTAACAGAAAACATTATATTATAGATATTCAAATATTAATAGAAATTCTAGTTAGATTGAATCAATTGATCTTGCATTTATAAAATTTTATTTATTTTTATTTGGAAATGATGGATTATAGTCATTAGAAAAAACATTTTAAAAATTTTAGATTCCAGATTTAACTATTGCATCTTAAATTTATAAGTAATTATTTTTTTTATTTCAGCTAATTACTCTTATTCATAATGGCTTCAGATTTAGAATTTTGGAATGTATTATAAATGGTAGAAGAAAAACTTGATATATGTCCTGAGTAAGTTAAGGCTTCAATTCATCAAACAATAATAAATATATTCAATAAATAATCAAGTTTGAGCTTCACAGAAATAAATAAATACATATCTTAATTAAGAATAAAATCTAATAAAAATATAGAAAATCTTGTTTAAGAAATATGCTAGTTAGATAAGACATCTAAGAAATTTACATTAAAAAAAAATGTAAAATAATATTTTGATCCTATTATATTTTAAAGGAATATCATAACTTAAGGTTAACTATTGGATAGATTAATAGATCAAAGATAAACTTAAAGTTTTATAAACTTTGGAAATTTTATTTAATTTAAAGCTGATGAAATCATTAAATAAAGTAAATCTAATATAAATTAAATATTTATTGATATTTTTAGTCATTTGGCAAACAAATCATATATAATATAATTGATTTAGTAAATAAAATAATAAATTAAATAACCTTTGCAAACTTATTAATTATTAAATAATTTACTAATAATTTCATCTAAATAACAAAATAAAATTGATGAAGAAATATTTGAATAAATTAAACAACTTTAATAATAATTATAATAAGAAGATTAAAAAAATGCAAAACACCTTAATCAAATTATTGATAATTTAAAATAGTTATTTGCGATAGGTGAAAGCGTTTTTCAATAATAGAGTTAATAGAAATAAAATTAAGATAAATAAAAGATAAAAGATAAATATCTTTAAAAATAGAATAAATTTCATGAATAATTGGAAGCTGATCCTCAATAAGAATTACAATAAAAATATGACGAAAATGATTATTGTTAATCTTGTAAATTGCTTTTAGATAGTAATGATCGATATACTCCTATTTTGGTTTAAATATTTGCAAAATAAAATTTATATGAAACTATGCCAACAACTCTATATAATCTTCTAAATTCAGAAAATTTTAATCTTTTAAATATATCTAGTTGCAAGCATTCTTTTCATTTTTAATGCTTAACTAATTCGTTTAAATCTAAATTCGATTTAAATTTACCTTCATGGTTGAATTCTTGCTGCCCTACTTGTAAATATAGTTGCAATTTACTATTACCGTTGTCTGAATTAGAAGATGATTATGATAAATTTACTTTTGAAGCAGAATTAGTTCTAATCGAATTAAATTTAGATGAATAATTTAAATAAAAACATTAAAAGAAATAGGAGTTAGTTGCATTCGAAATATTTTATTAAGTGCTTATAAATATTTTAATTTAAATATTTCTTTAAAAAGATGATTTTTAGAGATCTGGCAAAGTTTAAATTTTCTAATAATTCTTAAAGATTTTAAAGTATAACTACAATAAAATAAATTATACAGAAAATTTAATTAAATTTAATACAGGATAATTTTTTATAATAGACATACTATTATTAATTGAAAATTATATTATGAAATAAATTAATGAAATAGATTTTAAATAAAATATCATAAATATACTAGTAAAAGTACCAAAAAAAAATGAAGACATTGTTAAAATTTTATTTAGTTGTTTAGCTATAGATTATAATGAAAAAAACATGAAATATGAATAAAATTTAAAAATTAAAAATAGCATAAATGAATTTGACACAATTTTAAGTGAAATTTCAAGTTAAATAGCAATTTTTTTGGGAAATGATTTTTAAACATTTAGAAATCAATATATATAGTAGTTGCGTAAAAAATGTGGTTTTTATAATTAAAATTTTTCAAATAGTAAAGATATTGCATTATGTTTATTATGTTTGAAAACATTCTGTCTAGGAATTTGCAATAATTAACAAATGGGCAATTTAAGTTCTCATGTTGAAGAAGAGCATAATGGAAATTCAGTTTTCATTTGTTTAAGTTCAAGTAAAGTTATAATAACATCTTTTCCAATTTCTATTATAAATTGTTTCACTTTATATTATAATAATCTAGGTTAAGAATTATAAGCATTAACACCTTACAACTTAGATTGGGATAATTTTAAATTGGATATGGAAAAAGTTTAATAGATTTCCAAAATAATTTTATTAAATTAATATTAACATATTGTTAAAAATAAATTAACTAACTAGCATACAGATAATATTGGAAGAAATCTATGAAAATATTATAAATTAATTATTATTATAGAGTGAAAATTAAACTATTTGATATAATATATATATAAGTAAAAATAATCAATCAATTTATTGAATTATTAAAAATGAATAAATTGTTTCGTTTTGCTAAAGTGATTGCAAGATCTATTTATAAACCTGCTTAAAAAAGCCTTTATAGAATACCATAAATAAAGCAAGTACTAAATGACGATCATCGATAGAAATACTAATTTTCTACAATGGCATTTTAGTAATTTAAATTAGAATATTTCTAGAAATCATTTGTAAATGATATAATAATAAAATTAAGAATAAAACAAATAAAAACTATAGGTTGGACTCTCAGAATTAGGTAATTAAGTATTAAATAATTTCTAGCTAAGATAAATGCATAATTATTGAAGTAAACTAATTATGTTAGGTTTGCAGGGGATTTTAGTGTTTGTGTAAATCCTGAATAGTTTATTCATGCATTATAATTTTATAGATAAGGAGCATTAGCATAATTCTATAGTATTGATGATTTAGAGACGATTAAGAGTGTTTAATAATCAGATTCTGAACTTGAATTTTAGGATAGTCAAATTTTATGAAATGATGAAATAACATATAAATTATACTTATTTAAGAATAATTTATTTTAAGAAATGGTTTTTACATAATTCATAATTGTAGAATATCAATAATTATAAATAAATATTAAACTTTTAGTTAAAAATTATAGAATTTCATATATGTGCGAATAGAAAATGAATATAATTAACAATTTACGGAATTATTATCTTAAACCATATAAAAGGTATATTAATATAATATCAATTAAAATATATTATTAATAAAATGAGCAAAGAGACTGTTCCAATGTTTAAGTTTATAGTTTTAGGAGATCAATGTAAGTGGGTATGTCAGACTTAGCTGTCGGTAAAAGTAGTTTTGTTAAATAATATTCCGAATCCATTTTCATAGAAGCTCATAAACCAACTATTGGAGTAGAATTTGTAAAAAAAATGGTTGTTGTTGATAAACGCAAAGTTGAATTATAAATTTGGGATACTGTAAGTTTAGATCTTATATAAAAGGCTGGATAAGAATAATTTCGTAGTATGATAAAAAGCTTTTATCGTGGCGCAGCTGCAGTTTTTGTTTTATATAGTGTAAATTCAAGAGATTCTTTTGAAAAATTAGATTAATGGCTTTAAGAATTATAAGAAAGTGCTCATGAAGAAATTGTTAAAATTTTAGTTGGAAATAAATCAGATTTAGATAGAGATATTTCAAAAGAAGAAGCAGAAAAATTTATGAATGAAAATAATTTTAGTTTATTTTTTGAGACATCTGCTAAAACAGGAGAAAATGTAGAGAAAGTACAATTATTCAAAGATTTTTTAAGGCTTTTGAAGATACTGTTAAATTAGTGATTATGCGTATGTTTACAAGTGAATCATTTAAAAATTCCATTAAAACTACAAAAAAGACACCTGCAAATTCAAGATAAAATACAAGTAGAAGTGAGCCTCTAGAAGATTTTGTTTAAACATAAAAGCCAATTCAATTATAAGTTACTCCTTAAACATAATAAAAATAAGAGAAGTAGTGCTGTTGAAAATTAAACAATATCATTATGTATTATAACATAATTCTGTTAATTAATTCATTTATTTTATTGAAAATTTAATTTACACAATTTATATTTGTACCATAAATTCAAATTATTTATACTTTTAATATATAATTACTAATTCTATTCAAGATTCTATTAAAAATTGTTAAATTATAGAATTTAATCTAATTTTATTATTTTTATTCTAGCCAATATACCTTTTAATTATTCAAATTGTATTAAAAGTATATTCATTATTTAGAAATAAATTTAGAATTAAATAATGTTATGTTGATAGAACTTTTTTCATCAGAGAAATTTGATAATTCATTATATATAATATTTGTATTGAATGTTTCGATTTAGACACTAATTAGTAACTTATGAATATTGATATTATAAATAATCTCCTATAAACTAGTTTTAAATTATCAATCATGTTAATAAACTCAAAAATATTATTTATTAAACTCTATAAGGAATCTAAAATCAGATAAAATGATAGAGAAGATTATTCAATATTAATTTAAAAGAGAGGATTGTTTTTTATTTAAAAACTATTCTATTTAATTTGTTTTAAGTAAATTTTAACTAAAGTCTTCTAAATTATATTTAAGTATTTAAAATTCATAATAAAATTATTTAATTTAAGAAGGTGTTTAATATACTATATTTTAATTTATTAAAAAAGAGATTAATAATTTGATTTACTTTTCAATCTAATTATTTAAAGTGCAATTCTTGATTGTTCATAATAAAAAATATGAGAAATATGTTAAGCTAGCCCTCCTAGCTCAGTTGGTCAGAGCGTTGGCCTTTTAAGCCAAATGTCAAGGGTTCGACCCCCTTGGAGGGCGGTTCTTTTTTATTTTTTAATTTATCATAAATTAATTAAATTTATTATTTAATAAAAATTAACACAGTAAATTCAATTAAACCTTTAAAGATTTTAATATTCTGGATATTTAAGATGAAATATTTAAGTTAATTCTTCTACTTTTTAAATACATTCCATATAATCTCCTAAATCTAATGATCCAATTCTTAAGAGATTATGCTACTATTAAATATAAAATGATGTACATACTGTCTATAGTAACTATTTTTTAAAGTTAGTTGCCAATTATGATAAATGTAATTCAACATAATTTTAAATTGTAAAACCTAAGATACTAGCTGCTAATAATATTTATTAATATTGCATAATAGCATAATCATGATAGCACATCTTAAGAATATACACAGCTGTTTCTTAAATTATTTAAATAGCTTGACTGTTATAATTATAAATTATTATACTTTTGTGATAATCCAAATAATTAGAAACTTAAAAATTATAAATAATCAATAACAGTAGGAAAACATGTATCATAATTTAATGTTTCTAAAATAATTGATTCTTGTTCCTTAATTTGAAATGATGAGTATTTATTGTGAGCAAGTTCTTATACAATATTTCTAATAGAAATTTGATAAATGTCCTCAATTTTAGATGCAATAAATATACAAGTAACTCCAATCAAATACATGTCTGAATCATTTAAATTGTAAGAGTTTCTTAAATATGCATCTAATAAATTAACAGCTCTAAAAAATGTAAGATCATTATTTGAATATTATATATTATTTGATGCAAATACTTCTATCATCCAATCAACCATCTTTCCTCTTACCCATTCTCTAATTTTATGATTAGATAAACATTGACTAGAATCATTCTAATCTAAAAGTAATACTTATAAACATTCACTATAATAGGTATAATTAAAATCTTCAATTCTTTTAATTTAAGGATCTAAGGATGATTCTTAAAAATCAGTTTCAACTTATAATCTATTACCTATATTAAGTAAATCTAACATCTCTAATAAAACACTTTCTTATAATTCTTATGATAAACTAGTATTGACAGATGATAAACTTAATTTTTGTTTAGATTTTTCTAATTTTGTTTTATTCTAATGATCTCTTCCCTATTTTCTTGTAATCATTAATAGTTTAATTTCTGAGTATGAAAATAATTCATTTTGAATTTTAAATAAGTATTAAGTCTAAATTCACTTTATTTTGGCAGAAAATCACTAAATATATAATTATAATTGTTTTTTTTATAATTAATTGATATATATTTACAAACAAATATTTAAAAAATATTAAAATCTAATAAATCATAGTAATATATGAATCAATTTTTTTATGAATATCATACATAAATAGGATAAATTAAATATTACAATAGTTTTTTAGCAGGCAGGTGTGTGGTTAATAATTTTANACAGCTGTTTCTTAAATTATTTAAATAGCTTGACTGTTATAATTATAAATTATTATACTTTTGTGATAATCCAAATAATTAGAAACTTAAAAATTATAAATAATCAATAACAGTAGGAAAACATGTATCATAATTTAATGTTTCTAAAATAATTGATTCTTGTTCCTTAATTTGAAATGATGAGTATTTATTGTGAGCAAGTTCTTATACAATATTTCTAATAGAAATTTGATAAATGTCCTCAATTTTAGATGCAATAAATATACAAGTAACTCCAATCAAATACATGTCTGAATCATTTAAATTGTAAGAGTTTCTTAAATATGCATCTAATAAATTAACAGCTCTAAAAAATGTAAGATCATTATTTGAATATTATATATTATTTGATGCAAATACTTCTATCATCCAATCAACCATCTTTCCTCTTACCCATTCTCTAATTTTATGATTAGATAAACATTGACTAGAATCATTCTAATCTAAAAGTAATACTTATAAACATTCACTATAATAGGTATAATTAAAATCTTCAATTCTTTTAATTTAAGGATCTAAGGATGATTCTTAAAAATCAGTTTCAACTTATAATCTATTACCTATATTAAGTAAATCTAACATCTCTAATAAAACACTTTCTTATAATTCTTATGATAAACTAGTATTGACAGATGATAAACTTAATTTTTGTTTAGATTTTTCTAATTTTGTTTTATTCTAATGATCTCTTCCCTATTTTCTTGTAATCATTAATAGTTTAATTTCTGAGTATGAAAATAATTCATTTTGAATTTTAAATAAGTATTAAGTCTAAATTCACTTTATTTTGGCAGAAAATCACTAAATATATAATTATAATTGTTTTTTTTATAATTAATTGATATATATTTACAAACAAATATTTAAAAAATATTAAAATCTAATAAATCATAGTAATATATGAATCAATTTTTTTATGAATATCATACATAAATAGGATAAATTAAATATTACAATAGTTTTTTAGCAGGCAGGTGTGTGGTTAATAATTTTATTGTTTACAAATATTATCAAATTTTTGAATTGTAAAAAGTTAGATAGGTTTTAGAATGCTAATTAAAATTATGATGGAAATATATAAATAATAAATTATTTTTTAAATAAAAAATAAGTGTCTGATAAATATAATTTTACATACAATTATTTAAAATAATCAAATTTACATGTAAATAAAGTTATTTTGAATTATAAATCAATAATTTCAATTACAATATAGGGATAAGCTTATATATTTTATAGACAATATTGATGATAAGTTAAAATGATTTTAATCTCTAAGATATGGTGATTGTGTCATAATTTTTAGTTTCATTAATAATTTTGATAAGAAGAGAAGAACAACAAACTATCTTTTGAGATAATAATTAAAAAAATTTAGAGATTAAATATTTATTATTTAAATTTTGTTTTTGTACATAGATCTTTATAGATATGTCATTTTTTAGTTGAATAGAAATATTTAGACAACCAAAAGACAACCATGGCTCCAAAGGATAAAAATAAGCAAAATATATTTTCTAAAATTGTTAATGGAGCAGTTTTAAAGTATTTGCCTCCAGCATAAATGATTACTTATTGGATTATTATCAATCCAATAATCATGAAAGTAAATGGCTTATTCTTTTGGATACCTTCTAATACATTATATTCATGTTAACCAATTCTACGACTACATATCAGATTGACAATTTGGAAATTAGCAGTTAAATGATAAACAAGAGTATAATGAACAGCCCATTCAGGTACAAATTCTGCTCCTAAAGAATGTAAATCATGATTATAGGATGGTCTATTTGATAAATTAAAAAAAGTTACTCAATGCCAAAAATAAAAGGAGTTAAAAATAGGACAATTAATGTGGCTAAGTATTAAAATAATGCTTATGTGCATGTCATTTATAATAGAAATTTGTCTATAATATTTTCTCCTCTTTTTGCAGGTTTAGTTCTATTTAAGATATCGTCTTAAGGAATTTCAGTACTAAGGGCAACAGCTGAAAAAATATCTTAAACTCTAAAAATTAGATATTAAAATTTACAAGCTTAACCAAATAACTTCTAAAACTGTATAAGGCTATTGTTTTAAAACAATAGAAGCAGTAAGCATGATGGCAATGGAATTCAAAAAGAAACTCAATTAAAAATAAATGAATCTTTTAATATTTAAAAAGATGTTTCTACCATACTTCATACATAATTCTATTCCATCTAATTTATCATCCATTAATATAACTCCACTACATTCTCTAGCTATATTTGTAGCAGTTTTTCCTAAAGTGATTCCAACTGCTGCAGTTTATAATGCAATAGCATCATTATTTCCATCTCCAACATATCCAATTGTAGATTCATTTATATTAGAATATACTTCTAAAAATTAATGTTTTTAATGTTAATTTAGATCAGCTAAGATTTATAATACTTTATTCATATTTGATACAGCCTAAATTATATATATATATAAATAAATACTTTACTAGCTATTGCATCATCAAGAATCTCAGGAATTTTGGATACAATATTTCTTTCATTAACTTCTTAATGAGTATAGAAGATTTTTGATTCACTTAATATTTTTCTAATTCTAATGACATATTCTTAAAAATTTAAAATCAAAATAGTTTTTAAGGCTGCTGACGATGAAGATTATTAATGATTAAATTATTTATTCAAAAGTGGAGCAATTTCATCTTATGGACATTCCATAATTGCAGATGTAATTTTAATAGCTTATTATTCATCAATATTAATTTGAGGTGGTTCTATTATAATAGGTTAATGTTCCATTTAAGATGATTTTGGTAAATGTTCACTTATTCTTTATATTTCAAGATCTGCTTAATCACTACTTACCCAACCTAATTATTTAGCTACATTCACTGCATTTACTCTTGTATCACCAGTCAATATCATAACATTCATACTACCCATTTTCAGTGCACTATCTAATCTCTTAGCTTCTTATCTTATATCATCTCTCATTGCTACTGTTCCTATATAAATAAAATTATTCTAAAATATTAAATTATTCCAATCTTATTCAATTAGATTATTTATTTAAATATCTTGATATGCAAATGATATTGTTTTTAATGATTAAGAATTGTAATTTAATATTGCTTTCTTTTCTAACTCTTAACATTCTTATGTCATATTATGATTACAACAATCTTATAATCTAAATCTTCCTGGCTCATATAATTCAATATTCTAATTCTCTGCAATACAAATATTTAGTAAACTACATTTCTCTATAATTTCTTTAGATTTGCCTTTTATATAAATTCTGTATTTGTCACCTCTTATATGTAATACCTCAGTATGAAATCCATAATTATTTATTGGGATGGTTTTTCTAATTTGATTTTTTAAATCTTTTAAATATTCATATACGAATTCTCTTTTTAACTTTATCTCTAAATAATCCATTAGTGCAACATCTAATCTATTCCCACTCCAATCACTTTTGATACTTCCCTCTTAAACACTATTTGATTTTAATGATTTTGAGGAAGAACTCTTTGAATGTTAAGATTTTTTATTTGATTTTCCACTATGTTCAGATTTATATTCATCATCTTATTCAGGCTAATTAAGTTAATTTACAATATCTTCAGGTAGAAATGCAGAATTTGTTGATAATATTGATTCTGCTAACATTCTAAAAATAGGATCAGTAGATTATAAATTATAAAATCTTTCTTCACTTGCAATATGTACATTACAAACTTTTTAATTATTATAGGTTAATGTTCCAGTTTTATCAAAACATATAGTATCTATACCTCCTAAAACTTAACAAACATGTAAATTTCTGATAACAATATCTTGTTGTCTTAATTTAGCAATAGAAAATGCCAAAGAAAGCGTGACAATTAATGGTAATCCTTCTGGAATAGAGAGCACAATAATGAGAAAAGCATCAATAAAATCAGATAATACTTTTTTAAGTGCAAATTAAGAGAATACTTTTTCCTATAATTCTTAGAGTTCTCTGACCATATACAATTCTAAAATAATAAACATAGCCAAAGCACTCATGCATCCAATAAATACTAAAAATTTGGCTAAAGTTTCTAAAGCTTTTGCTAATGGAGATCTTTCATCATGAATTAATTCTTCTTCACCTTCTTCCTTTTATTAATTATCGTTTTTCATTCTATTGGAATATGTGAATATACCAACTGCTAAAACTATCATTTTAGCAGTGCCCTCAAAAATATTACTCCCTCCTCTAAGAAAACAATTCCTACCTCTTGAAATTGGTTATTTAGATAATGTATCAGTTAAACCTGTAATCATACTTTCATCTACTTCTATAGTTTCAGTTCCTTCAATTAGTAATCCATCTACTGTAACATTATCTCCAGGTTTAATTGTTATAATGTCTCCTACAACAAGATCAAGATGATTCAATTATAAAATATTCCCATTACGAACTACTTAAAAGATTTTCTTCTACTATTCTTCCTATTCTAAATATAATTATCTAAATTATTTTTCTTTTCTATAATCAGTCATTGCTCCAATGATAACAACTGCACAAATAGCAATCAAAATAGAAATTGCTTACACTATCTATTCAACAGGTTCTTCTGAGAATAATGCCATTAAAAACATTATCACTGTTGCAAGTGCTAATATTCTAATGCAGAAATCTTTGCTTTATTTGTACATACACATATAGAATGGAGATAAAGCAGGTGGATCTAACTTATTACTACCAAATTGCTCAACTCTATCACTTAAATCTTATATTCCTCTTTTTGGATCACTTTCCAATCTTGTGAATAATTATTCAACACCCCTTCTATTTACATTACAACTTACCCTATTTAATCCAATATTTCACTCGATTGACCAGATTGCAAATTGTTTGTGTCAAATATACTTTACAATTAAGGATATAATATCTAAAACCTTTACTAATCCATAATTGTATTCGTTTTTTAATTATTATTATACTATAAAAATCAATTATTTAGCAATATTAATTCAAATTAACATTTTACAATTAAACAAATTATATTAATAATGATTATATAAATCACAATCATCATTATTTCAATTCATCTTCATATATCTATTTTATTAATTTCAATCTTTCCTATTCTCTTTTAAGTTCTTCTAATCCTGCATTTATTTTTGAATCTTTATTATAAAAATGAGATATTCTATTTAATGTGTCAGTACTCAATTAATAAACTTCTTAATCATTCCTATTTATTTTCTCTTTCTCTGTCTATAATTCCTTCATCACTTATTACCTCTTCTCTTACTTCAAAAAATACTTTATTTTCAAAAATCCATTATTCTATTGTAATACTGCATTATTCTAAATTAATATATATACTTTATTACTGCTGCTTCTGTCGTATGAAATGTGATTGTTGCTTTTCTTTTATTATCTTATACCTTTATTTCCTATATTGCCCCATAATTTTTAAACAATAAATTTAACAAATCTACTGTATATAATTAATCTTTCCCCCACTTTATCTTTATTGTATTTAATCTCTTATACAAATCCTTATTTTGCAACTCAAATTAAATCATTTTCTCTTATTTTTACTTCCTCTCATTTTCCTCAAATTTTCTTTATTCTTCAAGTCTGTTCATCTAAATTTTTATATATTTATACTTCCTCATTAACTTTCATCTATTTTACTACTTCTTCTTATTATTTCTATTTCTCAGCATATTATTCTCTTCTCTTTAAGTCCTCTGCATATTATTTCTATTCATTGCTCATTTTACTTTGTTCTTTCTATCTGTATTTCTAATGCTCAACATATTTATGGATGTCTGACATATTATTCACTATAAATTCATATGCCTTTTAAATTTTTAAAAATCTATCCTTTGTATGAATGTTCTTATCTGGATGATATTTTCTAGCTAATTCTTTATATTATGATTTTATCTCTTTCTTATCTGCTGTCATCTCCAATTCCAATGTTTCAAATGGATTCCCATTTTTTTTTATAAAATCGATAATATTATTCATTATTTTTAATATATTCAAAGTCCTAATTTCAAGTTTTTAATTTATCTAATCTATCTCTAGCTCCTTTCATTTTCTCTGTCCCTAAATATACTAATTGATTTTGTTCTGCTTAACTTTCTTAATATTTATTTATATTATCATTTAGTAATTAAATCTCTGGTGCTAATTTTGATATTGAATGATCATTCTCTCTAAATTGCTCTCTCAATTCTATCTAATTTAATCCTCTCTTTTTTTAATTATTCCTTATTCAATACTTCATCTGAATTATCATCTTCTTCAATTACATCTGTTAATAATAACACTTTATTATTATCAAATTCATATCTAATATTATCTACTACAAATTATATATTTAATTTAATATGTTTATTAAATCTTAAGAGCATAATCTTAGAAAAAATTAAATTATTAATTTGCAGATACCATCTTTATTTAAATTATTAATTTCAATATTGTTCTAAAGAATTTATAAATTTTAATTAGCTAACATTTTGTTAAAAAAAATATGAACAATCATTCAATAACAAATATTTAAATAGAAGAAATTTAAATGGAGAAATATATATAATTTTAATTTCATCTATTAAAATATGAATCATTTATTCTAATTTTTAATTATTAATCAAATTTAATAAAATCTAAGCAGCCTATCTATATTATCAATAATCATTTATTTAAATTTTAATTTTAACATTTTACAATTAAGTTTTTGCTTCATCATTTTATTTCTAATCAGGTTAGCCTAAAATTTGATTGATAGAAAATAATTTTTATTCATCAAACTACATTTAAAAATAATAATTTTATTCCAAATTGTTCTTGCATTTTCTCAAAGCAAATTTTTTTTATGAAAATTTCTAATACATGTTAGATTTTCTTCATCTCTACCCTTCCATGGTAAACAAAAGACATTTAGAATGATGAACTAAAGATAACAATACATCAAAGTGTAGTATTTAATAAAAAATAACACCAAGTGACGAAATATCACATTTAGTGCTATAATAATATCTTCTAAAACTTAAGGTGCTTTATGGGGAGGATTTTCAACACAAGATTTAGTAATGATGATGAATAATACCCAACATATTTTGCAAATCTATAATCTGCAATTTTGACAGTACTCATATTATTGAGAAAATTAGCTGGTTTCATATATCTATAAACAACTGCACTTTTAATTAATTCTTTAAACAACTCAATACTTTAGAACATAATATCAAAAGCCTAATTCATAGGATTTTAAGAATACTTATTCTTCATTATCATTGTTTCATGCAATCAATGATTTAAGATCACCACTATGATAAATTTTAGTTATAATAAATTAAGGCTTTTTAATACCTAAAAGTTCAACAAATTTAACTATGTTTTAGTAATTGAATTTACTCATTATTTCTGTCTTCTATACTGTAGTGATTATGAATGAATATTTACATATCTATTTAGGTAAGTACTTATCCTTTTCAAAAAGTATCAAGTCTAACTTCTTTATGGCTGCTGTTTCATTGTTTAGAGTGTTTAATCCTTCATATGCTTTACCATGTGCATCTTATATAGAGAATTTATTTCATCAAATGTATAATGACAAATTTACTTCATTAATAAAATTATGTTGTTTGAGAAACTCAAGATCTACAATACTCCAGCCAAACTATTGGAGAAACTACGTGAAGTTCGCAAGCAATAAGAACAAGAAGAATAATAGGGATCCTCTGATTAGGTGCCAGAAAAATAGAAAATCGGTACTACGACATAGCCCTTATCTAGTGCGGCAAACAAGCTTAAAGACTTCGTGGACAAATCTTAATCAAAAGTCTCCCATTGTTAAAACTCAATTAGATATTGTCAAAATGCGAATGCCATCTAACAAAATGAATTCATGTACTCGTATTACTGAGATACCTATACGATAGAGAATGCAAATACAAAGNTTTGCTTCATCATTTTATTTCTAATCAGGTTAGCCTAAAATTTGATTGATAGAAAATAATTTTTATTCATCAAACTACATTTAAAAATAATAATTTTATTCCAAATTGTTCTTGCATTTTCTCAAAGCAAATTTTTTTTATGAAAATTTCTAATACATGTTAGATTTTCTTCATCTCTACCCTTCCATGGTAAACAAAAGACATTTAGAATGATGAACTAAAGATAACAATACATCAAAGTGTAGTATTTAATAAAAAATAACACCAAGTGACGAAATATCACATTTAGTGCTATAATAATATCTTCTAAAACTTAAGGTGCTTTATGGGGAGGATTTTCAACACAAGATTTAGTAATGATGATGAATAATACCCAACATATTTTGCAAATCTATAATCTGCAATTTTGACAGTACTCATATTATTGAGAAAATTAGCTGGTTTCATATATCTATAAACAACTGCACTTTTAATTAATTCTTTAAACAACTCAATACTTTAGAACATAATATCAAAAGCCTAATTCATAGGATTTTAAGAATACTTATTCTTCATTATCATTGTTTCATGCAATCAATGATTTAAGATCACCACTATGATAAATTTTAGTTATAATAAATTAAGGCTTTTTAATACCTAAAAGTTCAACAAATTTAACTATGTTTTAGTAATTGAATTTACTCATTATTTCTGTCTTCTATACTGTAGTGATTATGAATGAATATTTACATATCTATTTAGGTAAGTACTTATCCTTTTCAAAAAGTATCAAGTCTAACTTCTTTATGGCTGCTGTTTCATTGTTTAGAGTGTTTAATCCTTCATATGCTTTACCATGTGCATCTTATATAGAGAATTTATTTCATCAAATGTATAATGACAAATTTACTTCATTAATAAAATTATGTTGTTTGAGAAACTCAAGATCTACAATACTCCAGCCAAACTATTGGAGAAACTACGTGAAGTTCGCAAGCAATAAGAACAAGAAGAATAATAGGGATCCTCTGATTAGGTGCCAGAAAAATAGAAAATCGGTACTACGACATAGCCCTTATCTAGTGCGGCAAACAAGCTTAAAGACTTCGTGGACAAATCTTAATCAAAAGTCTCCCATTGTTAAAACTCAATTAGATATTGTCAAAATGCGAATGCCATCTAACAAAATGAATTCATGTACTCGTATTACTGAGATACCTATACGATAGAGAATGCAAATACAAAGTGTTCGGACTGATGACAACTAAGAATTGAAGGAAATATAATAGAACTTAAGGATGGAGACAATGTAGGATCTCTATCAAGAAGATCAGAAACTTATAGATCAACTAAACGAAGAAGCTCACGTCTTATCCTAAAGACTTACCACTAAAGAGGAAGCTAGTCCGGTTCGCCCTTTTAATCGTAAACATCATTAACCAAATTAAATCCAGAGACCTTAGAGAAGAGGAGCTACACTCATAGCTCCAACAAAACTCGAAGATCTTAAGAAACAATAACCTTATCTCTATGAGGAACGACAAGATCAACCTTATGATGACTTATCAGATCGTGGAAAATTTCTAAAAAATTATAGATTAGGAAAGTAAGTTACTTTTATCACATCAATAGTAAAAACCTACAGAAGATAAATCAAAAGGACTTCCGTAATAGCACCAAAAATTTTAAAAAACTAGAAGAATATGCCTAATTCTATAAACAATAGCCGAATTTATATTTGTAATTAAACAAAAGCTCTCAAGGTATTCATTTTATATTGAGCTTCAGTCTACAATATCTTTCAATCTGGTCTTGGGTTAATTAATTCCAATTATACATTATAGAGTGCTGAATCATAAGGAATGTTAAGGAATGAATCTAAAATAAGGGTATTCACAGAAGCTCTATAATCGCCTTAATGTAAATCCCTTACTCAACTTAAACTCAGTCACAACTAATTAACGTCGCCTAAAATTAAGAGTTTAGTTGAAAATTTCCCTTTATAAATTCAGGATTTAGATTTCAATAATAATGGATTAGATTCGAAAGCTTGTGAAACCTTGGCGAAGTACATGTAAAAATCAAGAGTAAAAAAATTGTCTTTGGAGAACAATAAGATTGGTGATCTAGGAGCAAATCATCTTTTTGTAGCTTTATAAGATAATGATTATTTGACATTGCTTAATTTAAGTCGAAACAATCTAACAGGTATATTTTTGTAATAATTTTAATTTAGATAATTGTACTAATGATTTATCAAATTATTTGAAAAAATCAAATGTGCTTTTTGAATTATATTTGCATTTTAATTCTATTAATAGTAAAGGAGGCATTAATATATGGAAAGCCCTATATAAGAATTCAAGTGTAAAGGTTTTTGATATTTCATATAATCGGACAGCTTCATTTGAGTGTGCTCAGTAAATGGCAAAAGTAATTGCTAAACCTTATCCTGAATTAATGCACATAGATGTGTCACATAATGGATTTGATGAACCATCTTCAGTAGAAATAATGAAGGCTTTAAATATTAATTAAAATATTTATGGATTTCATTATGAAGGTAATTGTCCTAAATTTGCAGTTGATGCAACTGGACATCTTAGAGATAGAGAAGCAGAAGAATAAGCTAGATAGAAGAAAATAGAAGAATGCAGAAAAAATCCACAAACTTCTCTTAGGTTATTAGATGATGATGTTCCAGTTTAATAGAAAAAGAGTACTCATAAAAAAGAAGAAATTCAATAGGTTCATAGATTTAGAAGAATTTGGGGAATGAAACCTGTTAAATAAAATCAATAATTGGATAAATAAAGAGATTCTTGTTGGATTTGTGAAGGATGGGAAGAAGTCAAATTTACTTGGAGTCCAGGTAAATCTGGTGGTATGAATAACGATCCCATATTTTTGCACGTTAATTTTGATGGTTATCGTCCTGTTCTAATGAATCCACATTAAGGAGAATATCATTTATATAGGATGTGTCCACCTAATCAAAGGATTCTGTATTTCTTCAGCAATCCAATTCTTGGAATCTAAACAACTGCTAAAAATTAAATGATTATGTAAACTCCTTAGAATGATCCTATAGCTTAAGGATTATAAGAATTTCTTTACAATGGAGACATTTTAATTGAAGGTAATAAAATGTCTTTTGTGAATGAAGTATTTACTGAAGGTAAACATACAGTGGTTGATAAATATATTCCTAAGATTTTCAGTAAACCCAGAGAGGAAGAGAGAACTTACGATTTAACATAATACATGAATAAAAAACAAGCATTTTGGAGTTATGAAATTTCTATATTCAAAAATTATTAACCTGACAATGATGAACTTGTAGATGAATGTTTTGAATATGATTTTTAAACTTCAAAAATTAACAGAATTGTTCGTGATCCACAAGAATTAATGGAAGTAAAAGAAATTCTTAGAGAATATTATCCATTTATTTTTGCTAGTTATAAATTTTATGCATCAACTTTGATTGGAGCAAGTGTAAAATAATTAATTTATATGAAAAGATTCCATGTATTTCATCTAATGCATTTTTCGATTTTATAGGTTAGACTGCAGTTTTGACTGATAAGTTTAGACCAGGAGACATTGATTTAAATTTTATTTCAACATCAAATGTTAAGGATATTTAATATCCAAATGTTTATGAAAAGGCATTAGTAAGATACCAATTTATGGAAGTACTAGTTAGAATAGCATTGGATAAATATACCAGAACTGGGATATGTAAATCAATGAAATTAAGTGTTTTAAAATTGTTTGAGGATGATTTAGTTAAAGCTAGATTATAGGAGATTGATCGAGCTTAAGATTGGAGAGACATGAGATTATGGAATGAGTAATGTGATATTTTAATAAGTAAATAAGATTATTAATACTTAGAGGATCGATTACCTATGCTTAAACTATTATTTAAATACACATCAAAATTGAATGCTAAATAGAAATTTTATAAACATACTTGGATATAATTTAAAGATTTTAGAGATTTGATGTTAAGATGTGATTTGTATTGTGATATATTTGTTGAAAGAGATGCTTATTTGGCATATTTATTATCAATGCAAACTTAAGTAGATGAATTATTTAGTTTGAGACATTTTTAAATGGAGTTTTATGAATTTATTGAAGCGTTATGTAGATGTGCTGAGAAGTTATCACTTATAAGAACTAAAGATATTTTAAGTATTGATGATAGGAGATAGGAACCTCTTCATAAGAAAATTGATGCTTTTTTACTTTTGATTTATTTGAGGGCAGGAGAATCAATTAAATAACAATTAAAAGAATCTGAAGATTTTACTGATTTTGATAAGTGTATGACTAGAAAATAAAAGACATTATAATAATAAATAGAAGAAATGGGTAGTGAAGAAGAAGATAAACCATATAATCCAGCAGTTGAAGCTGTTTCATTGGAAGAATAATTGAAATAAGTGCCTGTGTAAACTGTTTAAACAGGTTCTAAATTAAAGAAAGCTTTATCTTTCTTTACTGTTATTAAGTAAATGTAACAGTAAAAATAACTTAAATCAAATTTCTTATTGACTAATGTTGTTTAATACTTTAAATAAAGAGAAGAAGAAATGCTACAATATGAGATGGAATAAGGGTGATTTTTGATTATATAATAATTTATTTATATATAATTATATATAATAACATGAAGGATGATTATTCTGAATTGACAACTTTGGGTACTTCGAGTTCTTCTGCTTATCGTAAATTAGTTTTCTTGCAAAAGTGTGATGTTTCAGAACTGTATACTAATTTAACTAATGAACGAAATGCTTAGTAGAAAAATAAGAAGTTACTCTTTTAGAAGAGATTCCAATGTGTTTAAGAAAAGAATGAGAGTTTTGAAGCCTAAAACTAATTATTAAAAATGGAAGTTAATGATTGGTAAGGTTTCTTGGAAAAAGAACACAATGCTATTTAATAAATCAATAATGAAGATATTATGAAAACAGAAATCAAATCTCCTTTATCTTTAAAAATTAAAACTAACCCAACTATTACAAGTCCAACAAATGATAGAAGTAATTACTTTTACAAGATGAAATTAGGCAAGTATTTTTTCATTTAATCAACTTAAGCAAGCAACTATCTGTTATTAGCACTGATGATTTTTTGAAGACTGTTCGACACTCCTAAAAATTCGAAGATTATTCTAAACTATATAAACAATAACCCCATAATTTATACTTAAGTCTTAATTTCTCATAACCTGAAAGAGTCCCCAAAACCTTTGGGTTAATTCAAAATACTCGATCTCTTGTTACTGCTAATGCTAGTAGATCAATTAGAAATAATGATGATGGACATGCATTTTCTAATGCAATGCTTACATAATAAAGTAGATAAATCTAAGTTATGTAAATGAATCATAATTAATTCACTCCCAAATAATTGAGAGATATACTTCTTACATTTCCTAATACATTGAAAGACTTAGAATTATAAAATTGTAAATTAAATTATATGCATATGGAAATTTTGATGTCATTCGTAGGAAAAAATCAAATTTATAAATTGAACCTCGAAAACAATAATATTCGTGATCTAGGATCGCAAATCATTATGAAACATCTACTAAATAACAACACACTTTAATCACTTAATCTTAATAATAATCAAATTACTGAATGTGCTAGCACATCTATTTCAAATCTTTTAAAATAGACCCAACGTCTTTTAGAGTTATATCTTGGTTACAATTATCTAAATGCAAGTGCTGGTACTACTATTTGGAAAGCTATGTACAAAAATACTAGTGTTAAAATATTAGACCTATCTCATAATAATATAGCATCTTTAGAATGTGCTTAGTCAATCAATAAGGCTGTTTCAAGACCTTATAATGAATTATTGCATGTTGATCTTTCTTTTAACAAGTTTACATATCCATAAGCATAAATAATTTCTGAGGCTCTTTAAAAAAATGAAACTATTTATGGTTTTCATTTTGAAGGTAATTAAGCTGAATTATGTGTTAATGCTAATGGTTTCTTAATTAATAATATGGCTTATCATGCATAACTAAAAGAGAAATTAATTTAATTATATAAATAACCTTAATATTTTAAGTTATTAGAAGAAGCAAAGGTTGAATAAATTTCAATAAAAAGAGAGGAATCTTTAGTAATGCCTTTTAGTAGATCAAGGAAAATACGTTCAACTAAATTGAATGTTTAGAAAGTGAATGAAATAAATAAATTAGATACTTGTTGGATATGTGAAGGATGGTAAGAAATAAAATTTGAATGGACAGCTCATAAATCTGGAAGTTTATATAACGAACCAATTTTTATTCATTTTGATTTTGAAGATTATCGACCTTTATTAATGACATTTCTTAATAATGAATTCTTTTTCATAAAAATGTGTCCTCCAAATAAAGAAATACATTATTTCTTTACTAATCCAATTCTTGGTGTTTAATAACCAGCAATGGATTAGAATATTAAGAATATGTAAATTTAATCAATTCCATTTTTGTACAATGATGAAATTTTAGTGGATGGAAATATAATGGATTAGATAAATGTATATAGAACTAGTAATAAATAATAATTATTTGACAAATATATGCCAATGGTACAATGTAAGCCTAGAGAACCAATGGCAAAATTTGATTTTTCTCCTTATTTGAATATAAAGAAACATAAATGGTCAGTAGAGAATTCATTATTTAAACATTTTTAACCTGATACTCCATAATTAATAGATGAATGTTTTGAATTTGACTTTTAGAATTCAAAGGTTACTAGATTGGTAAAAGATACTGAATTATAGGAGATTAAAGAGAATCTAAAGATTTTATATCGTTAATTGTTTCATTTATACAAATATCATGCATCTGGATCATTAACAGCACCTATACCATGTATAATGATATAAGACTATATTGACTTTTTAGTTTAAACTTCATTGATGGATGGTTATAAGACAAATGATATTGATATAAGTTTTACATCTACAACAGCAGCAAAAGATGTTTAATTTCCATAAGCATTTGAGAAAGGATTGGTTCGTTGTTAATTATTAGAAATAATGATAAGAATGTGTAATGATAAATATATTAGATAAGGAATTTGTACAACAATGACTGAGGCTATTGGTTTGGTAATAAAATAAATTTAAGATTACTTAATAAAATTTGATTAATCATAGATGTGGAGAAAGAGTAGATTGTGGAATTAAAAATGTGATATTATTTTGAATGATAGATTGGCTATGTTGAAATCTCTATTTAAATATGTAAATAGATTAAGTAAGAAGGATAAATAGGTGTGTAAATATGATTATATATCTGTATAAGATTTTAAAGATTGGATTGTATAATGTAAATTAATATGTGATGATTTGAGTGAAAGAGAATGCTATTTAATATATTTATAATCAATGATTACTTAGAAAGATGAATTATATTCTAGTAAACATTACTAGATGAATTTTCATGAATTTATAGAAAGTGTTGGTAGATTGGCTGAAAAGTTATCTATAATAAGAGGTGATAAACCTATTGATATAGATGATAGAAGAGCAAAAGATCTAACATCAAAAATAGATGGATTTTTATTGTATGTTTATTTGGTTATTGGAAATGATATGAAATAAGCCTTACCTCCTAATGATTCAGACATTAAAGGAGTAGATAAATGTATGATTAATGATTTTAAATCATTAAAATAAAAATTAGAAGATTCTTTTACTGATGGAGATGAACCTCCTTATGATCCAAGAGTAGAATTACCTCATTTATCTAGCCAAATTACAAATGTATTAGGAAATACAATTGGTGGCAAAAAATAAACCTTAAGATAATAACTTAAATAAGTTAAAAGGGAAGAATAAAAATTCTCTCCAATTAATTTTGTTTAATACTTTAAAAGTATTTAATAAGTTCATGTAGATCATGATGATTGATAAATTATTCAAATTTAGATCTTTTTTTATCATTTTTCATTCTAATTTCTTAAATTATTAGCTTCATCTAATTTCTTAAATTATTAGCTTCATAATCTTTTGAATCATCAAAATATAATTATTAAGGAATCGGTGATTTTGATCCATTTTGGGTACTCATTTTAACACTAAATTTTTTATATTGATAACGAGATGTTCTTTGTTTTCTTGAAAAATCTTAAAACATCAAATTCTTTTCAATTGCTTCTAATTTCTTTTAAATATCTTTTATTCAAATAATGTTATTTTTAAAAACTTATGATTAAGTGTTTTATTGAATTACTCTTACTTATCCTTATATTATATTTTGTATCTTCAAATTTTAATTTTCTATCAATATTTTTTAGAATGAATCATAAAGCTTCTCGTCCATGTTTAACGAATTTATATATAATAATTTATGAGCATTTAATAAATAACGGGAAAAATATAAAAATAAATAAATTAATTATGGGAAATTCAGGAATACGAAAATTATGGTTTTTAGATTCTCCTGTTGAAACTCCTTATAAATCAATTCATGAAATTGACGTTATCAATATTAATAAGTCTGAAGAATCACTTTCTCAATATAAGGGTTAAAAAGTTTTAATAGTGAATGTTGCAATAGATTCTCCTGAATTGAATGATCAATTAAATTATCTAAAATCTCTACCTTATTAAGTATTACTATTTCCAAAATGTGATCATAAATTTACCTATTAATAGATAGCTGATAAATTATAAGGATTCAAAGTCTTTTAGAAAGTGGAATTGAATGGATAATTCACACATCCATTATTTAAATTTCTAAAAAGACAAACTCCTCAACTCTATGATGATAGATTAGCTAATGGAAAACAAATTAAATAAGATTTCTGTAAATTCCTGATTTCTGAAGAAGGTTAACCAATTAAGTATTTCCTGCAAAATGAGAAATTATGAATTATTTATGTATAGACATTTATTTCGAAATCCAACAATCTTTTCAAAAATTCTATTTAAATAATACATTAACCTCAAAAGTCCGCATTATTTAAATTACTCACTTAAGAACTTGAATATGAAGTTTTACATCAATTGAATCCAGTCAAAAAATTAAATATTGGTGAAATGTCTAAATCACCTTAAATCTTCACTTTATTAAATAATTTAAATAGATCTATCCATTCTTATTCCTTCATTTAATATTTTTAATTTTATGTTGTTATGAAAAATATGAATATAATATATAAGATATATAAGATTTTGTTGCACAATTTAATATGTCTTATAGAAATAAATTAAAGCTTATATGAGTTATGCTTTAGACCATTAAATTAATCATAAACCATGAAATAAAACTTCACAATAATTAATGAATTTTGACCAACTAATAAATTCCTGTTGGGTAAGTCTTTTATTTATAATCATTATAAAATTCACATCAGAGATCCTGGATTCATTAAAATTTATTATATTAAGGATGGATAAGAATTATTTTTAGATTATTTAGAATCTTGTCTTTTTAATACGCATATTGAATAGCCAAATTAGCTAATTAAACCATCTTCATTGCATCCATAAATTTTTAAATAAAATCTTAAATATCTAGGTTTATTAATTATGCTTTTGGAAGATTATGCATTTTGAATAAACAAAAGACGGAAAAAACTTTTATAAATTTTATAACAGTATTTTGAAGGAAAATCCTCAATATCTATGAATGATTAAATTACTAAGTTTATCAGTTTTATATATAAAATATACTCTCTCCTTTTATGATGTTTTAATTTTTTCTAATTTATATTCTTAACTTATATTAAAAACATATTATAAATATCCATATTACTCCATATTTTTTTAATTTTCTTTTATTTAAAGAATTGATCTAAATCATGTTTGTATCAAACAATATCTATTAAAACCTGAATGTTGTAGCCTATATATATTTGATAAATATTCATTTATTAGAATTTTTTAACTTGGCTTTGACCAGATTTCAAGTTACAAAACGATAAAACCGACCTTATCTAGATAAGAAGTTTAGAATATATTATAAATGATATTAGAGTATTAGTACATGATTAAATATATAAAAAATAAAGTCAATTTAGACTTTGAGTT